TATTTGCCACTGGACGTAAACACCAATATAGGATCACCATTCCGTGATTTTGATTTTAATTGTATCTTTTTTAATCCAAAGTTACCGTGACAGTTAAGAGCAACACATATAATTTTTAAGGATGTAGAAATTCCGAATGTTAGCTATTTTGTTTTATATTTGACGTAAATGTTCCCTTTTAGCTGCAATTTAAATGATCAACTTTAACACATATGAAAATATGGATATGTGGTACGATTGCCAATGAGACAACTATCCACCAGAGATAAAAATAGCGTTAACAATGTTCCACCTCCATACCGCATAGTAAGCTATAAAATGTCCCGCCATGACATAATGCAAAACAATTCAAACGAGAAAACCAACTGCCTGATTTATGAAAAATAGAAATACACGAATACAAATGGCAGCCACCAACGACAATCACTATATTATGGACTGAAATAAGTACATACAGAAGTGGGCACTTCATTTCTGAAGTTGTGATATTGTTTATTCAACCAAGCAAAACAGTACATGTAACTTTATTCAAAATGACACCTGAATACTTTTAGTAAAATATAGCATTAAAAATCTTTTTCTTAAGATGCTATTTCTTGATCTTGAAGATTAGCTTTTGTCCAAGTTTCATAACAATCCATTTAGGTTTACAAATGTATCATGTCAAAAAAATTCAATCCCTGACTGTCTGTAAATGTTTACTGTAAAAAACTAAGTTCATTTATCAGAAAAATACTGAAACTGAAAAAATAAATATATCGTCAAAAGTTTGCTTCAGACATTATGTCTTAATTATAAAAAAAGCTTCTGTCAACGTTTCATAAAATTCTATAAAGGTTTGACAGCGTAATTGATGACTAATAAACTTTAATCTCAAACTAAATCTAGATGTTAACTGTCAAAAAAATAAGTCCATTTATCAATGAAATACAAAAAATGAAAATAAACATTTTCAAAATATTGCTCTGGATACTGTCTATTGGTCATAAATAAGCTTCTGTCCAAATTTCATAAATTCAATGAAAGTTTGATAAGGTTATTGATGTCTTAAAAACCTTAACCACAGACTGAATCTAAATGCTGACGATGCCGACTCGAACGTCAACGCCACCGCCCAGAGAACTGGTTTGATTGGCAACTGACGAGTCTTAAGCAGACGAAACGTGTGCGAGATGTACTAATTTTTAAGCTTGGTACATTTTTTAAGTAAAAGGTAAGACTATACGACCAAGGGTCAGCATTATCAAAAGAGACCGCCAAATTGAATACTAGTACTATGGTCAGAACTTAAACCAGACTGGTCACCAACATGTACCTTGGTAAGTGCAAAAATATGCCCTGTGACTCGAACCCTTCTCCCTGTTCCCCGTTCCGCAAATTGTCATGACAAACACACTTGATACACATGTCATGTGAATACTTCGTTTTTAATTGTTTCAATGGGATAACATATTAGACCACTTAATTGATAAGAATCTTTCAGCAAATTTTCCATTATGATCTTATTTCACTAATGAGTAGCTGAAATAAACTTGCAGACGTCTGTGCAGCAGAGATGAGCTGGATTATATTCTATCTTGTCTCTTGTTGTTTTGCCAGACAAGTAACAGGTAATGATTTAAATGTTTTGCATGCGAATGTAGTAAATCATCTGTTAAATAACTGTGTATAGGGTTAACATTAAAGTCCCTTTTTTGACCCAGGAAAATGAAGCTTTTGAGAACTATCTAACTATCTCAAAATATGAAAAAAAAATGCATTAAATTAAGAAATACAAATCAATCATACGAGATTAACAATCATGTTATAACGTCGTTATTATGTCCAAACATGCTGATTATTAAGTTCTAAAAGTAATGAAAAGGCTAATTTTCAGCCGATTTCCATCCATATTTCGTTTTTGGAAACATTGGCCGCAGGAAAATAACATCATAATAATCCAAGCGAGGCTTTACAATTATTATAGCCATTTATATTTTCCATCCAGATCTAGACATAGGTTTTTATTTTTGTACGTTCGTAATTTTCCAACCCCAAAAAACACAAAAGTTGATACAAAACATTTATATACTATACTTTATTAATATATTAAGTTATTTCGTAATGGTTTGTTATCATGCTAACTCGTCATATTTGAAATTTTTTTTTTATTTTTACAATTATTTATATATCTTAATTTTGTTGAGGCAAAGTTAAGCTCAAGTATGGTGATTTTTACATTAGCACTAAAGTTTGGTCCAGATGGACATTATGGCCCCTAATCCTTTGTATGGAGTTGATATCGATGCTTGATTCTTATCTAATCTAATAAGTTGATACACCAGAGCTTGCGTTACCTATCATTATATCTTTGATAAAGGATTGTTGTTTACATGGCAGCTTTTGAACAAAAGGTTCCTTGTGGTAGAGTTAAATTCCCCCTTCAAACGTTTTATGGACGCCCTCATAATTTGGTTGAGATTTTTAGTATCTGTGCAACAGATGACGACGGATATGTTTTGCCGTAACCAAAATCCGTCCTCTTTTCTTTGGTAATGTATTGTACAATAATCTTTGTTATTGGAGAAATTTCTTAGACAAAACAATTAATGTATTTGTAAAAATCTTATATATCCCCTATTCCATAAAATTGAGAACGGAAATGGAAATTCCATGTATTCCTCAAAGTTTTTTTATTTGTTCGGTAAATACCTTATTTGTATATGCTAAAATCTTTATCTGTATAAATCACAGCTGACTTATTAGATTTACCAGATACATTGAATATAATAAAACGATTAATATGAACTTACACAGGTCAACCGATGTCACGTCCCCACATGTACAATATCCGGTACTACAACACGGTACTTGTTCGCCTAAGTGCAATGTTAACTATTTTACACAAGTATATGTACACAATGTTTGCATCGTAGAACAAAGATAAGTTATAGGTGTGCAAGATTAAAAACAGCACACTGTAAAGCAATCTCGCAATTTATTCCCGTTTCTAAGCAATAGAAATAGATGCTTTTTTCCAAAGAGTGACGCGCTTATTTTTATAGATATTTTTTTTCAAAGACGCGCTTATTTTTATAGATATTTTTTCAAAGACGCGCTTATTTCTAATTCATCAATATCTTTTTATTTTATTCATGTTATTCTAATGTAATCGTTGTTTTTTTTTTGCAGCCTCAACTGTTGCTAGTGTCTTATTATTATGAGCCGCAAATTTTATAGGACACTGAAATAAATGTGACACGTATGGAAAGGAAGTCTTGGATAAATGATCACCTTTGCATACGATGATATGCTCCTATTGCTGGTTGAAATAACAGTGCAATTAAGAATCAAATATCTGCATTTAACGGGAGTTATTTTCCTTACTACAGAACACAGTATTTACCTCAAACCTATTATTTAAAAAGCTATGCGGTCCTTAGATGTGAAATTCTGACTCATACTTCTTTAATATTTAAGTATTTTCAAAAGTGAATCTAGATTGATGAAATTCCCCAATGATTGAGTGGGTTATATAAATATGACTATAAACTCCCATCCTTGTACCGCAAGTTGGACACCGGTAATTAATTGAGAATATCATACTTTACCTATTTCAGTTTAATCTAATTCCTAGAACAGAAGGGGGATCTTGAAATTTGTCTTTTATCAAATTTATGCTTGTTTATTGTTTTTCTTATAAAAAAACGTTTTTTTTTACCGTAAACTTGACACTATGAATCAATTTGGAATTCTATATTTTACCTCAATATTATAACAACATCTTTTTTGTTGAAATTCTAGCACATATGAATAAAAAGATGTTTCTCATAATTATTTTTTTTTTCACAAAAAAAGTCATTTTTTTTCAATTTTCACATGCCGCAAATTTGATACTCCCAGAATAAATTTGGAATAGCATATTAAAGATCATTAAACTATATTATAATTTTTCATCAAAATATTAGGAAAACAACATATCTATTAAAACCTCTTTTTAACCAAAATAAAGAATACTTTTTGTCACTTTTTTTCTTTCTTTTTTACAAAGACGACACAGACCTTCGTAATATGAATATAAACACTGTGCACATTAATGATTGAAATCAGATGATGTAATTTTGACTTAGCATACGTTATAAACCATATCCAGAAATCAACGCCACTTTGCTTATTTGAATATTATACTAAAGAAATCGAATACGGGTCACTGAAATTATATTGAAATGAAAGGGAATTTAAAAAAAAAATGTCTGTTTTAACTTTAATTAAAGTGATAGACAGGTTACGGGGACAGAAAATAAATATACACAACAATATACACCATTTAAACGAAACATAATGACTGTCGTTGTAAAAATCAAGGTTCCTGAGCTATTTTAAAAATCGAAGCGAGAGGCTTTTAACATTGCAGTATAAAATACAGGCTAAAATGGCTTAAACGTCAAATTTGCAAACTTCGTGTTGAAAATTGGCTAACAAGGTCATTACAAAAACAGGTTGCGGGGATGAAACTTGAATGTCCAAAGAATAAGCAAGTCCAAACCTTGTATGTGTAGTCGTTGAACTCTAGGTTCCCACGTAAAGTCAAATGCCCCTATTTCAAGAAGAATAAACTCACGAAAACACGAAAAATTCACTAAATTCGCGTTCATTGTTTTGATTTTGACCGCCTGACAACTTTACGCAAATATCAGAGTGATTATAAACAAGGACTATGTGACGGGCAACTTATAATATCCGTGTTATAAAGATTTTAATGATATCAAGCCAGTCCAGTTCAAACTATTATCACGTGGTACAATTCTCATTTACATATTATGAATATTAATTAGCAAAAGTACTACTAATTTCAGGCTATGCGGACAGCCAGAAAATAATTGAAAGGCACACCGACTAGTCGGGAAGGTATTATTAAAGAACCTGCTCTAATGGAATCGAACCATCATAGCTAAATACTCCCTCGCCCCAAAAAGAAAGAAGAAACAGTTGAACCAGAATTAGTCATGCAAACCCTGTCTTTTATATCTTTTCAGATCATAAACAGAAATCTTAACTTTTTGCTGTACTGGAAATTATGTATTAGCAAGTCAAAACATTTTATTCCGGGGAGCTTCAAATAGTTCCCCTTTTCGATGTCAAACCCAATTAATAACTCTCGAATTTAAATCATGTTCTACCAATTTCAGTGCAAAAACCAGGATTTGTCTATTGCTTTTTATCAAAAATTTACATATAAAATATTATGGTTTCCAGATGCATCAAAAGTTAGACTTGTGGATGGAAAATCCCTTTACAAAAATGGCGTTGAAGTTTATGAGGGACGCTTAGAGGTGTTTTACAATAACGAATGGGGCAATGTCTGTGATAATGGCTTCAATCAGACGTCAGCTAGAGTGGTTTGTAGAATGTTGGGATTTGAAGGGTTAGTATCAATATAATCTCTATTTTTTTTTTCATATACTAGTATGAACGACGGGAATTTCATTTAATGTAAATTAAAAGTTTTAAAGATTAAGTAAGGAATTTTTATTTCTTGTGTGCAGTTCTTTTTAAAACATAGTTTGATGTAAAAATATGGTCGAAAACAATAGTAAGCTATTTTGTCAAATTGCCTGTTGCAAACCAGATTTAAACTATATGTTACGAATGTTTTGAAATATTTTATGTTTCAAAATCACCGGTTTTGAGATAAATTTCCTAGTACGAACCATAACAAAATTTCTGTCAAACTGCTATGCCGTCTTTGTAAGATAAATCGTTACATCTAAAAGTCGTTGATGAAGGCGATTTAGTAGAGGCGATATTTCTGGATCAGTGTAAAGCATTTTGGATCATAAATTACAAAAAATGTAGAAAATATCATACTTCACTACATTGGTTTACTTGATATTTGGCCGATAGCTATCAAGTCGTATCCATTTCGGTTATATAATAGACCATTTTCATATTACCGACTTTTGACTCCGGAATTTATTTATTTTCGACAGGTTAACTTCTCTGTGTTAGGACATCCTGGTACTCGGTCAGACAAGAGCAACGTAAATAAGTAAATTCAAGCTTTTAATCAGTACAGTTTTGAGGGAAAGCTAACTGTTTAATACTTTCTATACATGACTAAATCATCGGAAAACAGTAAACTTTCCCCCAAATTGCACCGATTAAATATTTGATCTTACTTCTGTTGGTTGCTCGTAATTGATCGAGTACCAGGATGTCCTACTATGGAGTAGGTAACCTGTCGAAAAAGTATAGAACCCGGAGTAAAAAAAGTCGGTAATATGAAAATGGTCTATTATCTCATAGAAATTATACAAGAATACAAACTTTATGGTATACATATGTCGAGGAACAAAATAGAGATATTGTAAATTCAGAAATTTATTATTGCAATTTTTGAAAAATGAACACAAATGCGAGATTAATTATTGCGATTTCAGGAAAAGGTGCATACAAATATTTGCATCAAATATCAGAATGCGAGTTCTTATTATTGCAATATTCACTCAGTCGCATTTTTCGAATTGATAGAATCCTCGCAATAAATATGTTTACATGTTAAAAATGTATAATGCATATATATATATGAGAAAGAAGGTTAATTGACAGAATCAACTTCATCGATTATAACTCACACAAATTTATAAGCTTAGATTGTTTGGATGTATTCACAATTTCCATGAAGTTAAGAGAATTACAATTTTTCGTGATTTTGTTTTCTTTTCCTTCTGTTGTAAAAAACTAACATCTGGAAGATAATGGAGTTCATCACAAATATCGCCATCTTCACATAAAGGACATGATCGATTTAATCTTGCGGTATTAGACTACCTCCCGCATTCTATTTGCAGTGTATGCCTTTCTTGTACAGAATTTAAACATATCTTTTTCACTTAGTACATCGAAATATTTTTCAGTTGTAAGCAATTCTTTAAACAGTCGGTAATTCATAGTTTTTGCAAGGATTCTGTATTTCAGAACCTAGCTTTAACAGCACGCTTAAGTTTATTAGCATCATAAAGAGTTTAATATGTCCATATAAAAGAAAGTCCACATTCGTTTAGGATATAACGCCTAGGTGTTCGCCATGAGTGCTAGAGATCGTAGGTTCATACCCGGCCGGGTCAAACCAAAGACTGGTATTTGCTGCGTATCCGCCAAACCCGCGGCATTAAAGAGTAAGAGCAAAGACTGGTCGGCTCGGAATAATGTCACCGGGTAGGATGACACGTTTTCCTGCGGACTGTAACCTTGTGAACTAGCACATTAAAAGTCAAGCCCAGCTTATCGGTCTTGTGCAAAGCTGGCTTAACATTCATATTACATTAACGTGTTCTCATCCTGAATATAAATTTAATTTGCCACAGGATGTTAAGCAGCCATCCATAATCATCAGCATCATCATCGTTTTTTATTTCAATATCAATATCTAATGGGTATCTCTGCCCAACTCGTCATAAATTATAGAGTTAGGTGTCGTAGACTAAACGTTGAGTATAAGTTTAGATTTCAGATGAACCTTTTCAAGCATAATACCTAATCCCCATAGTTCACAACCATATAGTAGAATTTGTTAAACAAGTTTGCCAAAAAGGTCCTTTAACATTCAACAGAAAGATTGTGGCAACTTTACATGTCTTAAAATTTCAAGTTCTTGAAAATTATACACCTAGATAATTGAAATTCTTGACGATTTCTATATTTAAGTCAATTTTTCAAATGTATATACATTAGAAACAGGTACACCTGTATTAGTTTTAAGTCCTATATTATTTTTGATGTTTAGCGAGGATTGGTCCAAAAGTGTGCAGTTCACTATCCAGTGAAATTATTAAATCAAAAAGTGTATCTGCATTCAAATATTCTTACAAGTCATTTTTTTTAACAAAGTATTATATTTGTGACTTTAACTACTAGGCATACCATAGTTGTTTTTTTTTTTTTTTTTTTTTTTTTTTTTTTTTTTTTTTTATACATATAAGTCTTAAAATTTGTTCAAAGATACTGATGTAAAATTGTAATATACGTACGTCTTACATCAGTATCGTTGCACAAATCTTAAGACTAGAATGCTTGTTTCCTGTCTGTGAAGTAACGCCTATTCTCGGAATAGTAGTAGTTAACGCTCCACTAGTGATACCCTTTGCACATAGCAAGCAAAAACCAGAAAAAGAGGACGATACAATGATATTTCCAACGAATATTAGACATGTTCAGAAAGTCAATTAACTATGCAGACATTTTACCGACACCCTTACCCTACGCTGACATAAAAAAGGGGAATTTATGGTTATGTGATAAGTTAACACAATGGTTTGGGGGGGGGGGGAGGGGGGGGGGGGTGGTTGCTTTGGAATTGTAAAGTTGTTTATGCCATATATGATTGTTTTGTTTTCTTAGTGCGCTATCTTTTCGTTTTCCCGTCTCTCATTATTTTCTAAAAAGGGTCGTCTAGTTTGTTTTTCTTTTCTGTTTCTTTTGCCGGATGATTGTCAGACATTTTAATAATTATCATGTACTAGTAAATAATAGAAATGTCAAGTTGGATGTGAGAAATATCAACGTGGAAGTAAGAAATTTCAAGCTGGAAGTGAGAATTATCAAGTTGGAAGAGAGAAATGTCATGATGGAAGTGCAAAATGGAACTGACAAAATCCAACTTAAAAAGGAGAAATATTAAGATTGAACTCCCGATATACAAACATAATTTTTGAAGGTTTGTCATCTTTCATTTGTACTGTATATCTTTGTTTTCCAGTAATGCGGTGATGAATTTAAATTATCGTTATGGAAATAAGCCAATAACTCTTGACGATGTTACATGTATTGGTTCTGAAAAGGACATAATGGACTGTAAACATACAACCTGGCGAACTCATAACTGCAATCACGAAGAGGATGTAGGCGTTCGATGTGGTAAAATTTTTTCTGCCTCTATGTTTTTATCTTTTCTTTATAATATTGACCAATGAGTCTTCCATTTTATTTGAAAAGGAAGCGTATATCTCATTCATAATTTGTCTTCATATCTATTCGTAATGGGAAGGCTTACAGTATCATTAAAACTTACAAGACGTTTTATCTTTGGGGGTATATCATCGCCATTACAATAGTTCTGATTGAAATGATAGATAAAAAATGTTTATAATCAAAATTATTTTACAGAGCAGATGTGGAGAATAAGCAGATTTAAAGAAGACGTAGTACTTGAGTTTTTCATGAATAATTCCTATGTGCAAGTGTGTAACACAAATGTTGCTGACGAAAAGGTGTGCCAAATGCTTGGTATTGAAAGGTACTAAACATTAATCAACTGAATTTCGAAGACAAACCTGCTAGGTAGTGGGGGAAAAGGTTGGGTAATGAGAAAATATTTCCGTGAAATACCAAAATTAAAAAAAAAAGAAACAGTGATATTTTGCACCTCGCCGTCATAGATATTATCTGAAAGACTAAAGCAAATGCCTCGTGTCTAACAGCAATTTCTTCATAAAATATCCCAAATATCTGTTCGAATTTATTGTCAATTTAATATTTAAATTTTACATACATTGATAGGTTTAGATTAAAGTAAACGACATGTGTAATGCTTAACATACTTATATTATATCGTAGATATTTCGGCCCAACAAAGTGTCGGTCCCTTTTCAAAATGTGACAAAACAATGAAGTCTTTGTCTTTTTTAAAGAGCTTTATTTATTTCATCTTGCTTGTATAATTTCATCTTTTATTAGTATCGTTGCAAGAATCTAAAGACTTTAAACATTTATAATTGTGTGTGTTTGTTTGTGCTGTACAGTCGTTAGACTGTCCAGTATGTATTAAATTTACTGGTTGGTTGTTTTCTATAGACTCTTATATATATGTTCGAATAAATAAGTCAACATGTTTTCTATAAAGTTAGGCTCTCCCTCAAAATGGAACTATCATACGAATAACTCAATCGCGTAGAAAAAATCATATCGGTGTGTAGTATTGTATACGTACCTTTCTATAATCCTTTCTGTAATGTTAAACAGCTAGATGCATATACATTGCAAATGCATGTAATTCATAAAATGTTACATTAGATATTTTAGGCTTTGACCGGATGTATTAAAACGTTATGTGGGTTGTTATGGAGTGAATTTTTTAAAACTATTTCTGATTGTGTCCAAGCTTTCTATTGTAATTAACGTGTAAACCCGAGCGATTAAATGGTTTCGTACCGAAATAGACAAATTCTAGTTTCCAAAGTATATCCCGAAATATCAATCAGAATCGTTATTTGCAAGTCACTCCAATATTAAACAATGATAACCAAAACACATATATATAACTATGACACAAGAAACACTTGCAAGCGCACTATAAAACGGTTGATTTATACCACAGCCAAGTAGAATTTAGATAACAAACACACTTTTCAAATATATCTTTGTACAGCACAATGAAAGAAAAACAAGTCATACGGCACTGTCAATCTGCACAGCACAATGGAATAAAACAAGTCAACGGCACTATCAATTTGCACTATCTGTCAAATAGATCACTAGGTAGCAAAATGAACACAATAGCCTATAATCACTTTAATACAACAATAACAGAATACTCCAACTTTGCTAAATGAATTATTTATACTATACACTATTCAAATCAATTAACCCAACTATACCAAATAAAGTAGCAAATTGAACACTATATATTTTCACTGTCAAATAGCTATCACTTATTTATTCCCTGGATATATTATTAGAATTCCGAATCTTAGAATTATTACTAATAATCCACACTTCACTTGGAATTCACTATTTTAATCCAAAGAACAAATTATACTCACTATTCACTATATATAAATATATCCGTTAAGAATGGTCTATACACTGACACTGAACTGCTCTCTCTCCGGTCTTATATACTACCTAAATGGACGAGTCCAAGTCCCAATTGAAGGGTTGTCAAGAAGGTATACTTATCACATGACTGTTAACAAGTCTATTATCAATAAAAGGGGTGTTTCAGTAATTAACAAAGTGTGCTCCTTATTTAGGAGGAACTAAATGTAACAAATGAACAGGTTGACATGCTTTAACCATTTTCACTCGCCGGAATTATTGTATACCATAACAAAACAGGTATTTTCGTTACATTACCCACGCCTCAAAAACCATGCGTCCTCGCATGACTCCTTGAATACATTTGACATGCTGAGAAATCATCTATCAAAGTGGTCATTTTTCATACCCAAACGCTACCATAGTGCAGGCACTATTTCCATTGGACATATATACATCAAGACAAAGACTTTTCCCGCTTTGCCACTTCACAATACCAAAACAACTTTGGTTAGATTCTGACCATATATATCTTCAACTATATATATATCTTCTGACCACAACGTCAGGCACCATTACATCCGACAATAATGTCAGGCTACCCTTTTGTCCATCAGATCAAAACTGATGACATCACAAGACACAACCCGTAGATACAAAGTCTACCTATATGTCCAAATTCCAGTCAGCCATATCAACCATATTGAACTTTCTTCTTATGCACAAACACTATTGACAGGATTTCTCTTTTTGTCCGAAAAAACTTTTTAAAACTTCCTACTTCAAAATATCCCTGTTTCTAACATTAACCTCTTTCCTATTAACGTCTGTAATTTTGAGCGTCACTGCCAAAGAATAAATTTAAAAGGTCCCTAACAAATTTTGCCTCAGCAGCGGCCCCAAGGAGCCTACTCTTAACGAAATCTGCAGGAGGGGTCTTTTACATGCACAGGGCGTGACATGTTCCTGTACATGGGGCCTCGGATTTAACGTCCCCATCCGACGGACTCCAGAACATAAAAGGGCTGGACAACACAATAAAACACAAAGAGTACATTATCTATACAATCAAACTCTTGTTGACTTTATTTAACGAAACAAAATGAATGTCAGTACACTGTAAACTGTCTATATTGAATCAGCTGGCACTTTCTTCTCAATGATTCTGATCTTTTTTGCCATTTTCTTCATAATCTATTATTATTTTGATGTACTTGGTCACTAGTCTTGGTTCCTTTGCAGACTGCTCCTTTGCACCAACCGTTTCCATTCCCCTTATAGTGTGAATCTTAGGTGTATTCACTAATTGAGGGGCCAAAGTCTTTGCCAATTTCTGCCTAAGATCCTGTACTTTTCCTCTTGGCGTGTGCACCGGAGTTGGTCTCGTAACCTTTCTTATTATTCGTCCAATCTCTACAGTTGAAGTTGTTGGCTTATCAGCCATATTAGCCGCCTCCGGCTAACTTTGTCAACACTAATCTCAACAATATCTTCATCACTTGAAATGTCCTCAAATAGACTTTTTGAATTGTCCACTTCTTCTTTGCCGGTATCTTCTTCCGAGCTTGAAGACTCACTATTATTATCAACCTTCTCGGGGTACTTCTGATCTATCTTATTGTGGTCTTTGTCAATTCTCTTTTCTTCTGAAGATTGAGTCACATTGTTATTATTATTGTCAGCCTTATCGTTATTCTCGATTTCCGTACCTTCCTTTCCGGGTTCAGCTGAGCAATGAATGTTCTTGATATGCTTATTAAGATATACCCGTTTGGTGGTGTTATACGAGCACAAGTCACAAAATAATCTTGAATCTGTGCATTCAATTATATGCTTGTTTCTTTGTTCCTTGGTCCTAAAGGTGGAGGGCAGAAAGGACAAAGCATCCGCTCACTAGCGTCAACTTCCATTGAGATAGGAATATTCCCCCTTCTGGGCGTCACTTTTGTCTTTGGCATCTTGAACTGCAATGATAAAGAAAAACACTGATACTAAATTGGCACAAATAAAAATGATGTAACAATAAAAGAGGCAAAATCACATAGCTATTTACAAATTAAAACTTAAACATCTAATCACTGTAATCTTTCATCCAAACGGGTGGCTGTCTCCTTCTTCCACTCCAGTTTGAAAAAATTTGAACTTGTTCCTATTTTTCCCAGTGGTACATCCTCTATAGTGTGCTGTTCACCACCCTCAACAGGGACACTCTCAGCATGCTCTAATACCTCAGGCTCTCTTTCTACAATTATCTCATTTGTATCACTTAGAGTTTCGGGTGGTTCTAATGGTTACACACTCTCTCCCTCAAGTATTTGAGGATTCCGTTTTCGCATACGGTCTACATGAATGATCAGAGTTTTCCCTCTTTGACCACAATTAAATTTATATGTCACATCGGTACACTTCTCGAGTACCTTAAATGGACCTCTCTAATAAGAGGTTAATTTCGATGACAGTCCGACCTTCTTTACCTGAAAATAAACATAGGCTTCGTCATCTTTCCGAAAATCCTGCCATGACAGTTTCAAATCATGATACCTCTTCTGCCTTAACATGGAAGATTTGGTATTTTGTCTTACTTTCTCATGGGCTTCTTCCATACGTTCTTTCAACTCCAACGCCCATTGATTACCTAGAAAACTCTGTACATCAACAGGAATCTCATACATCAAGTCAATTGGCTTAGAAACTTCCCTACCCAACATGAGATAGTTTGGAGTAAAACCAGTGGTCTCGTGTTCTGCACTTCGATACGCCATCATCACATACGGAAGGTGTTTGTCCCAATCTTTGTGATGCTCGTTCACATATGTACTAAGCATGGTATCCAATGTTTTATTGAAACGCTCAACTTGTCCGTCCGACTGAGGATGATAAGATGTTGTTCTTGTTTTCTTGATATTTAACAAACGACACATTTCACTGAATAAATTGCTCTCAAATTGTCGTCCTTGATCTGAGTGTAGGTATGATGGGACGCCAAACCGTGCCACTACCTGTTCAACAATTAGATTTGCCACGGTTACGGCTTCCATGTTCAGCATGGCGAAACTTTCAGTCCACTTAGAAAAATAGTCTGAGACTACCAGAATATACCGGTTGCCGTTATCCGTTTCTGGAAGTTCTCCCAAAATATCAGCAGCAATTCGTTCCATTTGATGACAACTTTGAACCAATTGCATGGGAGCTTTATTGGTTCGGCAAGGATTTTTCCTTCGGTTACAAAATTCGCATCCTATAATGTATCTACGAACATCAGCTTGTAATCCAGTCCAGTAATACTTCTGACGAATTCTCTCAATTGTCTTTCGAACTCCCAAATGTGCAGAAGTTTTATTATCATGGCACTGAAAGAGTACATTTCTCCTCTCATTATATGGCACTATCGCTTGTAACCGATTTTTCGATTTGTCAGAGGTTTTAAATCGTCGGTAAAGTATACCTTCAATGATTTCGAGAATATCCCATTGAGACCAC